GACATGTTGCGGCCATTTTTTGTGTTTTATGTGTCGATGAATTCTGCATTCGTACTAAGCTGAAGCTTAGTTCGAGGAATGATACTCTGAAGGAATTTGATTTTCAATTATCGGAAATCATTGACTTTATGTTGATGACATACACTACCTTGCACTGGCGAGTTGCCAAACAGCCCGAAACTGGTCTGCAGGTGTGTTCCAATAATTGAAAATCTATTGCGACAGTTGTATCGCCAACAGCATATGCAGGAATAACTTCAGTGAAGAATCCTGCACTGACACCTGTCGGATATATTCCAACGCCTTTCGTGGTATTAGCCAGGGGAGTAGTTGTTTTCTGATAGGTGTCAGTCCATTAAACTACAGTGTAGGGAGCTGAGACTGGCCTGAACGAATTGTTCTTTTAGATGATTTGATTTATAGCCAGTCTTCAAGTATGCCCACTGACTATATGTGGAAAATATCAATTCTTTCCCAAATCTAAGTATATTTTCCTATCTTCAACATGATGATGACGATTACATTCTACGAAAATAAAAAAAATGCGGTCAAGTATATAAAATGAGTCAATTTTGGTCCCGACAAAACTCACGCTGTAAATACCGCATTCGCAGTTACTTTCAATATCTTACATTGGTATCGGGGTATCTGCGTCTACCACGCAGACGTTGTGGGTTCGATTCTCATAACTAAACTTTTTTTAATTAGGATTACGTGACAAGGGGGCCTGAGGGGCGGAGTCTCAAGTTGGCCTATGGTCAGAGTACTAAGGGGGCCGATAGGTGAGGCGGAGTACTAAGAGGGCTGAGTTCCACGCTTGAATCACTACGATACTCATTCCATCCTGCGTCGATGACGTCACACGTTTCTCTTCCACTCACTGAAGTTTCTCTATGAAATACTTACCAGCGACGCACGACCTTGAAGTGAGCTCGTATCGGTGTTGTTCATCTACTGGTTTTAATTTCCCGCTGTATGCGCGGTAGCTTCTGATTGGTCAACTGGGTAATGACGAAAAGTGGAGGAGTGGAGGTGGTCTGAAGTGGGCTTTGAATGCTGAGGCTCAGTTTAAACAAAATGGACGTCTGGCAGAGACGAGGCGCTGACCTTTACCCCTTCCGTGAGAAGTGGGCCTGAGGTCCAAAAAGGTCCAGAGAGAAGCGCCATAAGAAAATACATGAGATTTTGGGCTGGAACTCTCTTACCTATATTACTAACTACAAAAAATTCTATGTAAATATATAATCAATATTGTAGAAAATTGAATTCTCTACAACTTTTGTTCCAAACATTTTTTCATACGTTGAATCGTTTTCGAGATAGAGGCCAGCGCGATCGCAAATTAAAAATTATTTGAGATCAACTGGTTGTCCCGATCGAAATCAGCTCATTTGAGGTTTATAAATTATTACTTTATCAATAATTATGAATAATTTTCATTTTTTATTGACAAATACATTATATTTAAATATTTTTTTTCATTTATTATTCATTTTCAATTCAGTATCAATTTATTCAACACTTACCTGCCCGTGTTGTTATAAATTTGTAGAGGAAAAATATATATCACATTATAATTCAAATCTAATCTATAGTAATCTGCCCGTGTTGTTATAAATTTGTAGAGGAAAAATATATATCACATTATAATTTAAATCTAATCTATAGTAATCATTCTTGAATAAATAAACATGAAAATGAATAAAATTTCAAATTATAATTTTTTTAAAAAATCTCATTCGATACATTTGTGAATGTCAAAATTAAAAAGATGAAATAATTAAAAGAATAATGAGTTTTAATTTCAAATTTCTTCTTCATCGTCGTCGTCCTCCCGCAGCTGTAAAAATTCAAGGGCGTTATCATCTTCATTTTCATCTTCACCCAGATTCGTTTCCAGTTCTTCCATGATTTCTGGATCAAAGGACCTATCTTCGTTAACATCGGTCTCATATGGTACAGCATTCAGACAAGCGCTTGCCCATTACACTGGCCACAAGCTGAAAAGAATTGCAACCCCGATTTCCTGCATCCACATCTTGAACCACAACCACTTTTGCAGTTACAGAATATCGTATTGAGTAACTCATTTGGAGCAGGTGGTAAAATGGTCATGATAGGTTCTAGCAATCTGTTACGCATTATCCAACCTCATTCCTGGGGTTCCAAACCAAGTTGAACTTAATAATAAACACGATTAAAATGTTTGTGAGCTGCTCACATGGGATATTTGATAACTGCACAGGTTTATTGAGCTTTGTTAGCTTGACATATTGTGCATAACGAAGATGATCGATAGTATCTACAGACTTTGGAGCATTATAAACAGCTAATAAAGTTTGCAATCCACTATCAAATAATCTTTGAACCGGGCAGTTTTCTTCTTCAAATGCTGCGGCAAGTTCATCCAGATTAGATAGTTTCTAGATGTTCTTAAAAACGTTTTTTTTTCCTTTTTTGAAGAGCGCAGAAGTCGTATCACAGCCGCTTAAAGCGTGAAGGAACAAAATGTGATTTTTAGAACTTGAATATTTGTCGAAACTCTTCCGTTTTCACATTTGCTTTGCCAACTTTTTTAAAGAAAATGTCTTGTTCAAGAGATAGTGTACGCCCAATTAAAATCACAAGTAAATCAATATCTTTACCGACTATAATTGCTCTTCTTTGACGTTTAGATTCTTCAATAACTGTCTCAATAATGAGAACATTCGCATCATCTCTGGCCTGTTTAGTGATGATGTCGACAGCTTCTGATTTTTCAATAAGCATAGTAACCAGATTTTCTTTATTTTGCTATTTGATAGAAATTTTTCTTGGCTAATTGGTAAAACCATGGTTTCGTCGAAACAAACTTCCTATGTTTTTGAAATTGCAGCCATTCTTCTCTGCTGCTCCATAGCTTTTATGTTTTTACTATAATCTAAGTATCCATCAAATACAACAATAATCTTTGATTTACAATTTGTTTGTAAATACTCAACGTATTTAAAGATTTGGAAAAGCTGAATACACTTATTTGAATTAATGAATCGAAGAGGTTTTTGTATTAAAGGGTATAATTTTTAAAACTCTTGCAGAGCGCTTTCGACTTTCGTCATCATCAGTGCTCACCTGAAAGTAAGTGATCTAGTTGAAAAGGGAATTTAGTGATAATTGAAGTTGTAAAATTTTTTTAAGGTTAAGAAATTTGGAAAAATTGTTTGAGATAACTTACTTGTCAGGCAACAGGAAGTATCAAAATAAGTTAATTGCACATTAGTAATATTTGACTTATATAAAACAAAATAGGCTTATAGCCAAGAAAATACATTTTTAGATTGAGGCCATGTGGTTCAGTCAAAGTATCATATGAAGAAGGACAACTTGAGACAGAATGTGTCGAGTGTCATGTTAAAATAATGGTAACAACTTGAGGAGTGATCCATTATGGATTTGATTGAATGTGTAGAGGAAAAATATTGAATAGATTGTATTAGTAAAATGTGAATAGTTAATAATTCATAATCCTTTTATTAAGGGGAAGAATATTTCTGTTTAAGTTTATTCGAGTATTCAAACAATGATCATTATTGGAAAGTTCTTTAGAAATCTCCAACTGTTCAAACAAGTCAAGTATAAGGAAATATTATTTATTTTATGTGATATTTTGGAATTTCTATTGGGACTAAAGGTGTGATTGTGAAATTTTATGTGGTGGCCAAAAGCAGATTTGTCGGGGTTTTTTAAATGCCCATTAATACGAGTAAAAAGTGGTCTACAGGTTCTACCAATGTAAGATGCCGAACAATCAGAGCAGTCAAGCTTGTAGACTCCAGTTCTGTGTAATTTGTTGATTTTATCTTTGGAATTTACTAAAAATATTTCATAGAAGGTGAATTAACCAAGGTGGTAGAGTTGAAGGCCAATCTTCTATCTGATCTGAGTTTAAATTTACTGATTAATTTGTGAATAATGGATGGTTGATAACCATTGTTGACAGCAATCTGTTTCAATGTATTCAATTCTAAATTGAAATTGGAGGGAGATAAGTTAATGTTCAACAATTTGTTATGTTGTTATGTTAACATTATGAATTATTAATTAATCACATTTTACTAATACAATTTATTCAATATTTTTCCTCTACATAATTAATCAAATCCATAATGGATCACTCCTCAAGTTGGTACCATTATTTCAACATGACACTTGACACATTTCAACTTCAATTTTCACTAAACTTCCTTTTCTATTAGATCACTTACTTTCAGGTGAGCACTGATGATGACGAAAGTCGAAAGCGGCCTGCAAGAATTTTAAAAATTATACACTTTAATACAAAGAAACCTCTTCGATTCATTAATTCAATAAGGTGTATTCAGCTTTTCCAAATCTATTTCATGCAGTTATTGTCCACTCATTTGATCAACATATTTCATCGCAATAACGACAACTGATTTCGTGAATATCAGACTTGTTCTTGTCCATTGTCTTGTTTTTCTAGTTGTCTAACACTTATGCAAGTGTGCGAGGAGTTTTGAAGAGCATTTCAAAATTGAATTTTTCAAAAATTTGAACCAACCCCTTGGTGTATTTTGGTTCGTTTGGAACAACTATAAATTTTGAGTCTTTATTTTCTTGAAAAGTCGTGGATTTACAGTCTCTGAATCAAATTATCCAGTATGTTTGAGGAATACTCGTTGCTTTCATCTGACTTTCCTCTGCTAAAGAGAAAGTGTTTTCAATAAATATATTTCAATAGCATTCTTGTTCCAAAATTCACTGCAATTCACATCATATCGAACTCATGGTGAGCGCAGAATATGAGATACCCATATCCAATAACCTTCAGAAATACGTACAGGGAAAATATCGTTGCACATGATGTTTTAATGTTTCAGTAAAATTCAAAATAAATGGATGAGTCAAACAATTCCCAATTGGCATTTGTTTACAATCAATTGATCCTGCTGGTTTTGTGAGTTGAACTGAATTATCAAAAAATCAATTTTGTGTAACAGATCTCTAAAAGCTGTTCAACTAGTTTTCAACGATAACGATGTGATGATATGCATTGGCTATCGTTGTCATAATTTTTGCAATAATTTGAATGATATTTTCAAATCATATAACATTTTTCAAGGTAAACATATCCGCCAGAAAATAGAAATAACGAATTTGGATATCGCAGCACAGGCATTGGTATTTTTCTTGGGCGGTTTTGATTCATCGGCATCATTGATGTGCTTCATGGGATACGAATTAGCCGTGAATCAGGATATTCAACGAAAATTGAGAATAGAAATCGAGGACACACTAGAAAAATGTAATGGAGTAATAACATATGACGCCTTATTGAAAATGAAGTACATGGACATGATCATATCAGGTGGGTAGCATCTTCATCTTTATTCGAATTCAGAATTGAAATATTATTTATTATTCGCAGTCTCCTCACAGGAACCCGATGAAAAACTTCAATTCAAAATTTAATTAAATGGGCACTTGTTATTCAGCACTATATTATATCGTATTACCGTTTATATAGGGCTATTCAAATTAATTTCTGTACAAGAGGATCTCGTAAACGATAAGAGATAGAGTGTCAGTTAAAGTGTGGCAAAGTTGCGTGTTTTAGAGATCTATTCAATGATGTAAAAAATCGAACATAGCTCTTTTGGTTCTAGAGATATTCAGGAATAACCAAAAAATCCCAAATTGTTTTTTGCCTACATCTTTTATTCGCAGACATATTGAAAATCTGTCCACATTTTGCTATTGGCACTTGGTGTGGGCTATCAGAATAATTCACCCAATTATAATCAAATATCACCGAAAAATCCGGAAATATAGAATAAAACATAATTTCTCAGTATCAAGTGAACGTCAACGATCCGAAAACTACAACAAATAATTTAAAAATCCAAAGAAAGGGGTGGCCCAAGTCAGATGACACCCTATATAAAAGATTCATGGACACATTCTGATAGCCCACATCAAATTCCAATAGCAAAATGTATACATATTTCCAATATGTCTGCGAATAAAGAGGATATAGGCAAAAAAATAATTTGGAATTCTTTGGTTTTTCCTGTATATCTCCAGAACCAAAAGAGCTATATTCGATTGTTTCACATCATTGAATAGGCCTCTAGAATACACAACTTTACCAAGATTCAAGCGACACTCTATCTCTTATCGTTTACGAGATCCCCACGTACAGAAACGAATTTGAATAGCCCTGTATAACCTTCTTTGGAACATAGTTCTGGATACCCTGAGTAATCACCTCAACAATAATGGATTCTACACTATTGCATACACAGATGAGATAGTTATCTTGCAAACCTGCCAATTTGTGAATACACTGTGCGATAGAGCGCAAGATGGACACACATTAATTGAAACAGGGTCGATCAATCCCAAGAAGACAGAGATGGTTCTTCTCACCAGGAAAATAAGTTTATCGGGCTTAAAACCTCCCGAAATATACAAAAGCAAACTTAACTTCTTTGGAGAGGTGAAATGCCTTGGTACTTTCCTCGACATGAAGCTAACATGATACTCTCACCTACAAAGTAGAGCAAAAAGAACATATGTGGATTATGAGCAATGTCAGAGGACCCCGTGCGGTCACCTGGAGCCATAGCCAGGGGGACCGAAAGTTCCATAGGCAACGTCCATCTAAAAATAATATCAAATACAGCGACTGGCTTATTCAAACATCACAGAGGCTATGATAACAACAACAAACACGGCGATAGAATCAGTTACTGGTCTGACCCATTTGTACCTGTACGTTAAGGAGGTTGCTTCAATGGACATGTTACAATTGCGCACGGCTGGTGTGAGCCTCGAAGTAGGAATGTCTCAATTGAGGCTAAGCCTAAGGCGAGAAGCGCTTACTGCGCAAATTATGTTTAGTAAACCCNCGTTATTTCCAACACCTCGACACGAGTTTCAATTACCAAGTGATCATCTTCAAGAGGAAGGTTTGTGTTTAATAAACCCTACAAAATACAAATAAAACAGAACACAGAGTCGGATGCTTCAAATGCAATACACATTTTAGAGACCGCTAAAAGCCAAAGAAGGACCGGGATGTGGAGTTTACTCCAGATCACTATGCCTTAGAATTAAGTAGAGAATGGTATAAAATACCAGCGTGGTTCGAACAAAACTGGTTGGTCTCTCAATCGCCACAAAAGAAATAACCAAGAAAGGAATTTTAGGCAAAAACATAACAATCTGCACTGATAGCAGACAAGCTCTATTAGCCTTGAACAGACAACGTGTTACCTCAGGGCTAGCACTAGAGTGCCACCAAGATTTAGCCAAAGCTTCGGTAGATAATAACATTATCCTGAAGTGGGTTAAAGGGCACGACAGGAGTAAAGTTAATCGCATTACCGATTTTTTAGTCAAGGAAGCGGCTGGAGAATTTTAGGACTAGCCAAATGTCACACCCATGCTCAATCCCTACAGAGATGAGATGGACTCAAAGAATCAGTCATGCCCTGGGCGACCTATACCTGCCGATATAAAGGAGATGTATCCTAGTGACATATCCACCCTCATGGAAAGGACAGGATGAACGATGACCTAGGAGAACAACTCCTCGGAAGGATGTACAATGGGTCACATGTGGCCTAAGTGATGTGGGCCTACACTCACCCTCCCTACTCTACAGTACAGTATAGTTTAGGCGCATAAGGCAACGCCAGCGTCTCGTTAATGCCGTAGGAGTGCCTTCTAGTTTTCCCATGTCACCAGGAATGCAAAGCATGTTTGACCCTATTATTTTATTAAACATTTCAACAATGCGTTAGTTACCTACGCCTTTGGAATCCGTACGCCAATGGCGTTATCCCTTACAGGCAGACAGATTATTCTTGCAGCTCCGCTTTCCTCTCTTCTTCCGATTTACACCGAGCCTAAAGTGCCTTTTTCAAAGAGTGCTCGCTCTCCGCCTCGGGGTGATGCGCTTCGCCCCGGCGTTTTGGGGTGTGTGTGTGTAATTAGATGAAATTCCTATCAGGGGAGATGTAGTGATTAAATGCCATTTTTACATGGGATTATTTCGTCGACGATATGATGAGCATAACCGAGACATGCTCCACTGATTTATGCTCTAATAGGAATCGCGAATGGGGAGCAAAGTTGAGAAAATAAGAGAATTGGTGTAATGGGAATCTTTGAAGGCGCGATGATTATTTAGTGGATTTACGTTAAATGTTTCTCGGTTTTACTTCAGCTTCTAAATCAACTCATATTCATATTTCAGTTCGTCAATACACAATAAATATTGTTGCCCTGAAATATGTCACTAACTTATAACATCTGAAATTCTGAATATCATTCGAATCTACTCTATGTAAATTATCTGTGAAATTTCAGCAACGTTGCTAAGATATTACTTTCGTTCTCACAATGAACCCACATACCACTGATGACGTCTATCGCAGTAACATCCGAAACGTTTCATATCTCAGGTTTCTCTCGATCACGGGCTACTAGCCCGGATTTCGTTCTCTTCAATCACCTGTACACTTCAAAAAGTAGCATTTTTTTTAAATAAAATCGAAAAAAATTGAAAGGGAACTGGTAAATTTTTGAATATATCCTGAACTGAACAGAATTTGAAATAATCTATTGAATATGCTCATGAAGGTAACTTTTCCCTGATTCAACCGACTTTGTATCCCGCACATTTTTCAATTCTTATGCTGACCTTCCTTATCTTGAACTCTATTTAGTACATGAGATGGTCTATAGTTATTTGGAAGATTTTTTGGCTGAAAAGGGCAAAGAAAATAAATCTTTCAAATGACTATAGACCAGTTGCTTCACTATTAGTGATATCAAAAATCATGGAGAAGGCAGTAAACCTCAACACCCTCAAATATTCAGAAGGCTTCAAAATCTTGAGCGATCATCAACATAGCTTCCGGAAACAAAGATCAACAGGCGACCTTCTATCTATCGTATGTCACCAATACTTGGAATAACGCAACCCAGAAACAATTGGAATAACGAAAAATATGAAGGGTCAATAGCTGTTCCTCCTAATATTTCCGAGGCCTTTGGCAATGTGTGGCATGAGGGTTTGCCGACCAAATTTGCCATGCCATTTTTCTGTATGGCTCTCCAGTATACTTGTCTTGTCTTTCCGTTTTGGATTTTTCGCACTTTTGATTCCAACAAGAGTGGTACATATCAGAAATAAGCGACAGACTGTGGCTGCCTAAGGTTCAACTCAGTACACCTCGAACTTCACTGTTCAAGAACTCTTGAAACTGTAGACCTGCGTTTATGTGGAATGAACTTTCTGCGAATGTTTTTCCAAATGAATTCAATCTCCAGCAATTTAAACCTCAAAATAACTTTCTATCAGCTTCATTGCTAGCCATTTGAAACATTTTGTGATAATAATTGAAAAAAACTTCACTGAAGTATTCTTCTTCAACACTGTTTATTTGTATGTCAAAATGTCACCTGAATAATACCTTAATCATTTTCAGAGTCCTTGAGAAAATGGTCAAATGGTGTTATCGCAGACAGAGTGTGCACTAAACCATATACAATCGAACCAGTAACTGCTGAGGAAAAACCCATATACTTAGCCGAAGGTACATTCATTATAATCCCAAGTTTCGGCATTCAACATGATCCAAAATATTTCCCAGATCCTGATCGTTTTGATCCAGAAAGATTTAACGAAGAAAATAAAGATAAGATAAATTCCTACACTTACCTACCGTTTGGAATTGGACCCAGGAATTGTATTGGTTCAAGATTTGCCTTACTGGAAACAAAATTGCTCTTCTTCAAACTTTTGTCGAAATTCGAAATAGTTCCGACAACTAAGAGTGGAATTCCGCTCAAGATATCAACGACAACCCTCAACCTCAATTCGGAGGGTGGATTTCTGTTCGCATTCAAACGTATAAACGAAAATCAATAACAAATTAGAAATTATTGTTACATGTGTCCATCAATGATGAATTTTTGTTACATTTTTCATATGATTGTATGATAGTGAATAAATAAATGAAGTTAATAAAGTTTTCGAGATAACAACACTTTACAAAGACATGGAACATATGAATGCCCCAATATATAAAGAGGAGAAGGGGGAATTATTTAGGTACTTTACTGATTGCATATTGAGATATGCGGTATTGAAGCCATCGACATAACTTCTGGTGTTAACACTATCATGTTTGAGGGTATGTATCATTTCGCTCAAAAGTGTTCTGGATAAATATGTTTGTACGTCTATAATGATCGGTTGTACAAAGTGAAAATGTGTCGAATTGTCTTTCATGTTCAACAAGAGCTGTGGGTATTTGATATTTATTTTCTTCGAGTCCACTTGGAACAATATAGTCTATGCACAAATTGAATGAATATGACTTTGACAAATGTTTGCTAATTTGAAGAATCATTTGATGTATGAAAGATAACTGACTCGAATTTGCTGTTCAACACCTGTTTTACACATGACTCTTAACTGTTGATATCAACTGAGAGTTTCGGTCTAAATGAAACTCACATTCAGTCAATGAAGTTCACATACTTGTTGGTGTTTTTCTTACCAGAAAATTTACTTTCGATTGTTCAAAGACACTCTATTTCTCAAATTAACCCATTAGCATCCAGCTTCCTCTTTTGAGGACACATGCAATTATTTCTTTCACAACTCTAGCAGCCAGTCGTACGATTCCGGCTGAATAGATAATGCAGAAAACTGTGTAACCTACCTATATCATCAAACGGCCTTACAATTGCCTTATTGTATACTTTGATAACTTTTTCAATAGCTATGATCTACTTCTTCCATTGAGAGAAATGAAATTCAGAGCTACAGGAACGGTGAGAGATAACCGTATGAGGAAGTGTCCACTGAAAGAAGTGAAACAGCTACAAAAAGAAGATCGTGGAACTTATGATTATCAGTTCGATACAGCTGATCAAGTGACTTTTTTTCGATGGAACTAATTTGTTGGTACTAATTTTGATACAATACTTTGTATCGTGAATGTCTCAAGATGTGATCGGCTTAGAACAGAAAGAATACCTACTCCTCAACCAGCAATGATAAGCAACTATGATAAATATATGGTTGGCGTAGATCACCTCGAAAAGCATTCAATAGCAATTCGAGGTAAAAAATGGTGCTTGTTCACTCGAATCGTTGACATGGCAGTTGTGAATTCATATACCTTATGGTATGGGGTCCATCTCTATTAAAGATTTCAGGAGGAACATTGCAATAACTTATATGAAATTGGGTCATGGAAACCGTATTCAACTAGGTAGACCGAGCAGCCTATTGTTGACATCGAGGCCCAAAGTATTTGATGATATACGTTTCGATAGGGTTGGGCACGTTATTGAAAAGCGCGAAAAACATCAGAGATGTCAATTAATTTACTGCCAGAGTGAACCACACACTTTCTGCAAAAAATGTAATATCACATTGTGCATATTTGTTTTAGCCGATATCATGACAAAACTTATTATTTATAAACAATAACTGAGATCTTCATTTTATTTGTCTAAAATCTTCATTTTGTTTTTTAATTTTTTCATTTCTTCACTTTAAACGTTTGACTCATTTTGTAATTTCCTATATTATCATGAATAAATAATATCTTGTCGCACTGCAAATTTTTATCGTTAATGTCGCCTATGCCCGGTGTCCTCTTTTGATGACAGATATTTTTTCGGTAACTATCAGATGTCAATGCAACTAGGGACTATAAACTCCCATATTTGAATTGGTGTCGGTTTAATCAGAAAAAAATAATAATTAGGGCGTTAATGGGTTAATGAATATTCTTGAACATATAGTGATCATCACAATGGGATTGAGTTGAAATTTCAATGAGACACCTCCTCACCATCACTTTGCTATTCGTGACTATTTGTATGAAAAAAGAGACCACTAAAGTGGGTTCAGATATCTTCTATAAAGGTACTTCTTGAAATCAACAGAACATTCCTAACTGTGTATGTTACTATATGGTCGGTAGCCAGGCGGTTCGACGTGGGTGCTTTGTTCACTCACTCGAATTGACTGCCGTGTTGGTCGGTGGTTCAAGCCCCAGTCTGAACAATCGATTTTCACTTGCTATCGTCCAAGCCGTGTTAGGAATCACACGTTAAAATTTAAGAGGTCGCACAAATTTCAACTTCTGAGGGTTGTCGTTCGTAGGGGTGCGACAGCTGGTTAACAGAAAAACAGATTTTAAACAGATTATTTTATTTGAAGGTGATTGACAATGTTTCGTGGTGTATTTCATCAGTTCGGACTTCCATTGTCTAATATAATATAAATTGATTCGAAATCCCTGTAGTTTCCACAATAGTCTCAGTCATTTACTTAAGAAAGACAAATATTGTATAGAAATGGAAATGAAAGACTCTTTCACTCGTTTTACCAACGATGTTACAGCCACCTTTGCGTTTGGTGTGACCGTGGATTCACCCGAAGAATCATATAATGAATTCATTTTATAAATACTAAGGCTACCGATTTTGGAAAGTTCAAAATTATGATTGAGTTCACAAGGTTTTTTTTGATTGCCAAACTTCTCCAGGTGAATGCAAATCATGATTCCTCAAAAAGTTGAGGGTTATTCTGTGTTTTTCTTTTATGTAGCTCTACGGCCAGAAAAACACAGCAAGAAAAATTTCACTTATTGATGGTCTTGTTATTTTCATAAGAATAAGTCCATACGATACCAAAAATCATCACGACATCCATTTGTCTCTTAATAAATATTGAGTTATGTGAACTTTTTTCATAAGAAAAAAACTAATTAATACAGTTTATTGTAAGATTTTCACTATAAAGGGTTTTACAAATACCGCGACACGTGTTTTGCTATACAATAGCTTTCTCAAGCATGCTTGAGGAAAATAAAACATATAATAACCACGTTATTGAATAATGTTACTTAACTTACTATATATATGTTAATCTACTCTACTTTTTTTTTTGGAAAAAACATTATTTTTATCATTATTAATAGTCTTCAAGTACTTTCGAGTTGTATTCTCAAAAATGTTCTGTTTTTCTGCAAATTCACTCATTTATTCAGATTTGGAATACATATAGGTATAAATCAAAAACAGTATTCACTGATACATATACATATCTCCAGTTTACGAAAACAAAGGTAAAACTTCAAATTATATCTGTATATTCACAAATTTCATTATAGATAACATGGGAAAACCTTTTCTGTGTTAGTTTTAAAGTAAGATAAAGACATAACAAATTTTCATCTACTGGCAGTATTTATTGAAGCTATTGCTCAGCCTAGGAATAGGGCTTTTTTGACCCAAATTGCTGTGTTTAAGGCTTACATTAAGAAATCTCCTATTTATGGTGTTTCTAGATGGTCATCTGCGCCTGTATGAGGCGCAGATGACAAATTACATTCCATTCAACAAATTCCAGGACCATGCATTTCTATGCTTTCATCATTAAACTGCGACCTGGATACATGCCTCTTGATTTATAAGATGGAAATACAAATTGTGCCTACTCATTAGATGAAGTTCATTCAAAGAATTGTTCAGAAGGACAGTAATAATTTCAGTAATATTTTCAATGATTCATACGTGGGGTTGGTTTCCGCAATCTCTCCATACGTGAATCAATGATTTGAAATCTATGAAGGAAAAAATAAAATTATAACTATATTAAGCGAAGAAACGTGAAATGAAAACACAATAAAACCAATAAAATAATCAGGATAACAAATGATAATGACCACAGAGTAAAAATAATAGAGATTGAGATTAGCAAAACTTCAAAATGAAATTGAAAAAGATTTCAAACCAACTCACTTCATGACGTTTCGATTGTTAGTATCCACAATCGTCTCCGGGTAATGACTGGACCATTCCAATGGAAGATAACTATTTATAGGTCATTTGAGCGATTGCACCTATCCCCTCTTCTCCCTTGCCAGTTCTATAGGAGTTGACCGTTTTCTGCTTCATTTTTAAAATTTTGCGTATCTCTACGCTAGATTGGCTGAATGCGTCATTGGACAACATATATGCAGCTTATTTGAGTTTCTTCTTGAACCAGAGTTTCTTTCTGTGGATGATCTCAACTTGGGACCACCTGATGTTACATGGACGATTCCAAACATGCTCTGCTATTACCGACTTGCTAGTTCGTCCTCGCTTGTTCTTGGCAATGCGGACTTTCAATGGTCCCTCAGTTTCACTGATATAGTGCCATACTCACAGGGTATTCGGTAATCCAGACACTACAAGACTGAGCACTCATTCAACCTTTCGGGAAATACGTCATTAGATTACCAGACTACATAACTGACCACATAATTTTTTCCAGAAACAATTTTGTCAAGATAAACATACACATTGTGTCTTTGTTTATACGCAGGTGAATTTCATGACAAGTTTCCATGTTTTGGTGTAATATAAATTTTGTAATACAATATATTGATGGGTTCGACTAAATTCATACTCGTTGATTTTCAAAGCTCAATTCTGTTTATTCAATGTTTGTTACTAAAAACTGTTACTTGATGTTTCTAAATAATAATTTATTTTTCATTTTTCATGGTTTACAGTGTGTTAATTCCATACAATGCGTCATTGTTAGACGGTCAGTCCCTACACCAACAAATTATTTCTTACCCTATTTACCGAATTATTATATTTTTATGGTGGCCATCTAGTTTTCCACCATTTTGTGGTATGGAGAGAGATAAATCCCAGAAAGGATCAAAGGTTAGTGATGAGTGTTCACAGTGTGTGAATTTCATCGTGGATTTCAATTGACCAACGAAATTATCTACAATCTTAGAGTTATGCATCCTCAAATATGTGAGCCATAACTCTTGTGCATTTCTACTGTCGCTCAATTTTTTGTCGATCTCCGTTAAGATTGGTTTAAGTTTCTCATTAAGTATATTAACGTCCTCATGTAAACCTTCTGAAAGACAAGGAAGAAACCTCTGGGCGTCTTGATGGGAATTACCCATGAATCGAGGAGCAAAACTTTGAATATGATTTTTCAAGGAGGCTGTATTTATCACTCTATCAAATAAATTTTCTGACCATTACTCCTTGATGACTTTTGCAGACGCTTTCATTAAAGCACCCTCCATACTAGAAATACTAGTATTGAAATATTTCATGAATTCATCCTTTTTCAAATATTTCAATAACCATCTTGTATTTGATAAACATTGGATTACGCTGTTCATGAAACGGGCGTTACCAATATTTTTGAACCCATTTAATCCAAGGGTTTTGACTGAAGAATTTATTACTGGACAATATGAAATATCTTTGAAACCCGTTTCAGAATTTTGCTGAGAGAAATTATTTTCCACATTTCATCATGAAAATTGTCAATCACCTTCAAATAAAAGTGCATAAAAACAGTTCATCATCTTTGAAAGTCCGCCATATTGTATTTAAAGGGATGTCATTTTATTTTCCATATTAAATTGAGCAATCACTTTCATTTGATACCCAATTTATAGGATGCATAAATTACATAATGCAGGACCTTCCACCATCTTGGCCGGTCCGCATCATTCAGTTAAACACGAATTATTATTCAAACTTATCGTATATTCTAAATTTCAGCTCAAGTGATAGAGAATGCAAAATTTTGTTGAAATATTTGTCACGAACTAACAACATACATACGTACAAACAAACATCGCAAGTTAAATTAAAGCTGGTGACAATAAAAAATTGAAATGATTTCTACAATTTTATCAGTAGCTCTCTCTGTGTCCCTCCTAGTAGTACCTTTGCGAATGTACATGTGCGTTTGCGAATGTACATGTGAATTTGAGTCCCTCCACGCGCATCAAAACAATTTTATGACTAACATAATGAAGGTTTTCCCGAATATCAGTAGTCGCGATTACGTCTCTGCATTAGTAGGTTTATTATTTTCAATCACTTGATCAGTTGGCAGTGTTGTCGATAGAAAAAGAACAAGGTTCGTTCGTTCATTATTTCAAGATAAATAGGTACGTGGGTATTCTTTACTCAGAATTTGTTCTAAGTGACAATAACTATATACATATCTCAAAAAAGTATATATTCTAATCTTGATTTATTGTCTTATCTGACAGTATAAAAAGCCTTTCTTAATCATTCACCTATTGGAATCTAAGATATTTGTTTCGAATATGTTTCATTCATCTAATAATAATGATAATAATCGGCTTCATTTATCGACATGAGTGAATCACATTAAAATAACAAATGAAAGTGTTTTTCAACTTAACCTATACTCATAGATTTAAAGCAGAGAAAAAGTTCATCTAGGTATGAAAACGCACAAAAACTTGAATAAATTGTCTGATCTCCAGTGCAATTTCAGGATTGTATGAGAAGTTGTATGAGATGTGAAGTCTGAACTAAATAGGAAGTGCATTATAAAAATAATTGAATTATATACGAAACTTAGAATGAAACGAGCTGTGGAGTGTTTGTTGGTGATGAATTTATCATGATTTCTGTTATTCGACTGACTCTGTAATTCAAAAGTCATGTTTTACAAATATATTTAATGAGGTTTCTGCTTGGTGATGTTTGTGAGTTGTAACAAGAAGGTACAGTTGCCTGAAATTGATCAAATTATCTGAAAGAACAATTCATTCAGACCAGTCTCAAATTACCTATACTGTGGGCTAACGGACTGACACCTATCAGAAAAAACTATTCCACTGGATGATACCACGAAGGACGTCGGATTATATCCGACAGATGTCAGTGCAGGATTCTTCACTGAAGTTATTCCTGCATATGTTATTAGCGATGCAACAGCCGCAATCGATTTTCAATCGATTTTCAAGGTAGTGTCTATTATTAACATAGAGTTTATGATTTTAGGTAATTGAAAATCGAATTCCTTCAGAGTATCATTCTTCGAACTGGGCTGAAGCGAAAGACAAACAAGTTTGTCATCACCCCATCTGCCTATGAACGAGGTAACCAACCGCATATCCGAAATTTGCCATATAAATTTTTCATATAAGGAAGAAAACTTCACAACTTGAGTAGGCCTACTTGGAGGCTGACTGTGAATTGAATCATCTAAAAAACAATTGAGTCTGAGCCATCCAGACTCATCAAAATCAGCAGAGATATGATCAAACTTCCTCACACTATGAAAGTATCGTATGCAGTTGAAACAGATCAAAAGATAACACATGTTTCAGTTGTTGCTATGTGGTGTGAACACCACCATATCCCGTATTATTACCTACCTCAATATGTTGTTTTGGATTTGGGAAAACTTTTTTCTAACGTTTTCTACAAGAATGTGGCTTTGAAAAATTTTTGAAGCTTTGACATTCTAGATGGAAAAAATTACTAGTCAGTACTTACTTACTTCATCTGAACATATGAGAAATAGTAGAAATTTCAAATCCTTACCATGAAATTCTGAAAAGTTATCATTGGTTACTATTTGAATCAATGTCACGGGTGGAAGTAGACTAGATGATAGTGTCAACTGATATAGATGATATGATCGCTACGATCACGTTGTTCAAACTGAGAAAAATCAATTAAGTGAATTTAACTTTTTCTCAAATTCTGGACTTTCGACTTGGGAACAATACTTATTTTCGTAAAGCTTATCGAAATCATCAAAAATTTGCCCAGACTAATACTATTTGCATTTGTTTTCCGAAATATTCGGAAGAATTAAATTCAATGTTTTCAATTTTTTCAACGATATTTCCTGAACTCATAGACAATAGAATAAATTAATTTTTTCCACAAAACGAATTTCAAGTTCAAATACAAATAAATGTCGGGTAATTATTTTTTAAATAACTCAATTATCCGCAACATGAAACTTGTGTAAAAACAAGAAAAAATTAATAAAAAAATACGAAATTTTATTAACAAGAGTATTCTATTAGGTTTGCAATGTTTTTTTGACCCGATACAGGTATTTAAATCTACATTATATTCAAAATAATCATGAATTTTTTGAACATATATGGCTATAATAATAAACCCCCCAAACAAATCACTGACCAAAACAATTTGATCTTCTACATTATAGTTATCTTATATTCGCAGATTGTATCAGATGCTGCAATTACTTTTTGGAGTGGCTATATTAGCCGCTCTCTTCTATTACTTTTGCGTTAAACCGTTGAACTACTGGAGAGAACGGGGAGTGAAACAAACAAGTAAAGTTTGGTTATTTGGAGATAACTGGTCTACGACCATTGGTAAGGAAAGTTTCTTGGATATGTTCGTTAGATGTTACAACCAGTTTCCAGATTCCAGGTGAGTTTTGAATCTGAAAATACATCTATCGAATAATCAATTTTTCATAAAAAGAAATGCATAGAAACTTGTTCTGGGATTTTGCTTGTCAAAATCTGGAATATGAAATTACTGGCTCAGCTAATTTGTTCCATTTACGATAACTCATCATCGTTTTCCGATTGTTTCACCAGGAATATCTAATATCGGCATCTGCAGTTCGGATGGGCAGTAGCTCAGCCTAGCATTTAAATATTCTCAGTTTCGAAATTCTTTTCATAAGTGGATAAAACTCTTAATATTGAAAGATAAAAGCCAAAACATGATCGGCAATATATTGTATATTGTGCAAACAAAAACAGATCCTTCCCGCAGAGGTTATTCTGTATAAAGTCTAATCATTACATAAATTTGTATATATGCTTCTGTGCTACATTTACATTTGTTAGTCAGATTTACACAGTGGATAATTTTCAAGAATGCTGGTATTGTTTGAAGGTGGTTGACAATGATTCATGGTGGATTTCATTAGTTCAGACTTTCATTGTCTACTATGATATAAATTGATTTGAAATCACCGAGAAATCTATGAAATTCCAAAAAAGTTAGCTGAAAAATAACAATTATATTAAGCAGAAACATTGAATTTACAATGAAATGAAACACAAGCAATAACCAAAAACTAAAAAATTAAGAAATTGAACTATTAACACGAGATAAAAATTAAAAAATTATTAACAAGGTAGAAAGATTCCAAACCAAGTTACTTCACGACCTATAGATTTTTATCATCCTCAATCGTCTTCGGCTGATAACTGGACTTATTCCACAGAGATCTGACTATTTATAGGTGATTCGAGTGCTTTTACCTCTTCTCTCTCTCCGTTTCATCGGTTTCAGCGGGAGCTGACCGTATGGCGGGAGTTGGTCGTGTTCCGGTTGATTAGTATAGAGGTTTCCATATGTTGCGTATATCTACGCTAGCTTGGCTAAATGCGTTGTTGGACAACATATATGCGGCTTTTTTGAATTTTCTCCAAAGCCAGTGTTCCTCTTCGTGAATGATTTCAGCTTGAGCCCACTTGATGTTATGTTGATGTGTCCAAAGATGCTCTGCCGCGAGTCTGGTTGAGATACGTGGACGACATCTTCATTATATAGAACCATGACCAGAACTAGATACCTTTCTGAGCACATCAACAACGTGAGTCCTTCCATCAATTTCACAATGTAGAAGAAAGTCCACAACCAATTGCCATTCTTAGACGTATTGCTGAAGAGTGCTGATACTAAATGGGAAACATCTGTATATCGAAAACCCACCCACACAGGACAGTATCTGAACCAGGAATCCAACCACCATAAATCGACTACGTCGATTTCACTAGACCGTACTTTCGGGCTCTGTAATACAGAGGAAGGTCTAGATAAGGAACTAGACATCATCCAAAATGACCTGGAATGGAATGGTTACTCCAGAGTGATGGTGGAACAGGCTTTAGCTAGAAGACAGCAAGAGCTCCACAAGGATTAGAAGCCGCCACAACCAGTACTTGTACTTCCCTACATCACAGGATTGTCGAAAAGGATAAGAAGGATTGGGTCCAAGTGCAACATCAGAACCTGTTTCAGATCTGACAACACTATGCGGATCAGCCTCACGGAGAATCATACATCGGTGAAACTAAGAGGCTATTGAAAGTTCGTATTGCCGAGAACAAGAAACACACACAGCGAGGAGAAACCAGCAAATCAGGAATGGCAGAGCATGTTTGGACCCATCAACATAACATCGAGTGGGCTCAAGCTGAAATCATCCACAAGGGGGAACACTGGTTTAGTAGAACATTCAAAGAAGCCGCATATATGTTGTCCAACAACGCATTTAGCCAAGCTAGCGTAGATATACGCAACATATGGAAACCTCTATAATAATCAACCGGAACACGACCAACTCCCGCCATACGGTCAGCTCCCGCTGAAACCGATGAAACGGAGAGAGAGAGAAGAGGTAAAAGCACTCGAATCAACTATAAATAGTCAGATCTCTGTGGAATAAGTCTAGTTATCACCCGAAGATTATTTTGTTGTGAAGTAACTTGGTTTGGAATCTTTTAATTTTCATTTTCATTTCTTGTTAATACTTTTTAATTTTCATCCCGTGTTATCAGTTCAATTTTTTTATGTTCTGGTTGTTGCTTGTATTTTATTCCATTGTAATTTCAGTTTTTTTCTTAATATAATTGTTATTTTTCAGCTAACCTTCATTATTTTTCACAGATTCTTCGAGGGAATTCAAATCAATTTATATCATATTAGAGAATGGAAGTCCGTACTAATGAAATGCACAGTGTTGTTATTGCAGCAATAATATTAGAAATATACGATGAAAGAAGTGAAACACGTTGGACATTTATGTCGAACTTCAATTTTGGAACGGGCACACTTGCAGACCTGTTTCGGTCTCATTAGCCAGTCATCAGTGCAAGATAGTGGCCATCATCGACCTAAATTCAATGATTTTCCATAATTGAGAAACTGAATTCTTCTTATTAGTCACTTTCTTATTAGTCAGTGGGCTATACTTGAATACATTTTGTTGTTCGCTCCAACTTAGGAAGAGGAATGAAATACTATGAAAGAATTCCGATTTTCAATTATGGAATATCATTGACTTCAGGTCTATGATGGCCACTATCTTGCACTGATGAGTGGCTAATGAGCCCGAAACCGGTCTGCAAGTGTGCCCGTTCCAAAATTGAAGGTCAACTCTTCCAGTTGTATTTCCAATTGCATATACAGGAAATTTTCTGTGAAGATTTCTGCACTGATGCCTGTCGGATATAATCCAACGCCCCTCGTGGTATTAGCCAGGGGAGTAGTTGTTTTCTGATAGACGTCAGTCTATTCAACCTACTTTGTACGTATATTCAAGACTGGCTGCAGTAAAATAATTATTAAACTGACGATATTTCCAAAATATAAAGTTGTTATGTTCAACAGTATCAACTACTTTCAAATCACTATATTCTTCATTTATGTTATCACTCAACAGATTCACATTGCATTACAACAGTTATTTTGATTTGATTCAATAGTTGAATAAAAGATAGTTCTTCCAGTTCAACTACGAACTTCTTTTATTTTCAGATATCATGGGATATATCAATTTCTCCAGCCAGGTTTGATGATTAAAGACTTAGACCTCCTGAAACAAATCACAGTCAAAGAATTTGATCATTTTATGGACCACAGGAGCATAATTTCCGAAGATGTAGATCCATTATGGGCCAAAAACTTATTGGCATTGACCGGTATGATATCATTCCCCATATGACTGCCCAGTTGTTGAATTAGCCCTAGAAAAAACATTGAAACTTTGCAATATGAGAACCACTTATTTTTTCCGATACTTTTTCTAGGAATTACTCAATATTTTACAGATCTAAGATCACGAATCATAGTTTGTCAACCATGCTAATTTTTTTTTCATATGAAATACGACTTCATTTTTTATATCAAATTATTTCTAAATCTCACAACACAGTCGAGATTTTCAGAGAAATTGAAGTAACAATCTCAAAAAATGAATGAATTATGACTTTTTATTATAGTTTCATCGAGAATATGAATTAAATAAAATTATGAATATGATTAGTTGAAATAGTTAAAAATTAGTTTTTGTTGGCGTTAGTTGATTGGATGAACCACAATAAACCCTTTCGGGTTACGGTGGAGGATCGAATAGACCCACTCACTTTGGACCTAATCTAACCTAGTCGATTGGATGACTTGGTTTTCTATACGAAAACCGATGACTTGATCGCCACCATAAGGGAAAAACATGATCATAACCACCATCAATGCAAACTGGGGTTACAGAAAGTGCAACTACTGTGCACTTTCGATTACACAGTGTGATTTTCACATACTTTGGAGGTGCTTCAAACCAATACACATGTGTGCAGTGAAATAAAAACAATAAATGCTTTTAGGATTCACCGGATAGCAAACACATACGTGAATATGTGTGGATCTTATCTTACTGAAAACCATTTCGAGAATCACAGGCGTAATGTGAGAAAGAAACGATTTTGAGGTGAAGTTAGAAGAGGTCAAGCATCAAACAGCTGCGTAATATACTTCGTAATTACTTTCACGATGAAGAAAACGAAATTCAAGCTAGTAGGCTATGGTCGAATGGGATCTGAAGTAACAAACGTTTCCTCTGCTACTACGACTGACATAATAGCATTTACTACGAGGACGGAAGTAAATCTCGAAGTCTCAATCGTTTGTTGCTGATGAGACTCCAAAGTAAGACTTTCGTACTCACCGTAAACGCACATACCACTCAACTCTTATCACTTTCCAATCTGAAGTACATGCAGAAGTGTTTTTGTATAATCAAATGTCCATATAAAAGTAGTTGATTCGAAGGTAATTCTTCTTTCATATAACTTGATGTTCAACGAATGTAATTGTTTCGAGAGGGGTTTTTCTTTGAGTTCGTCTCTGAACGTTACTTTTTTGTATGATGAACACATCTTTGTGAATAATTCATTTTGGAACTATTTGATTTTTTCTTTTCTTAGGAAGATTTTCAGAATATTTCTATATGAAAATAGAGGAGTAGAAAGCCAAAACCTTTGATTCGCAAAAAATTGATCTCTCCTGAAAATATACTCCTTTCAATTCAAACAAAATTCCTATGGCTGGGATTGAATCAAACAATCGGAAGAATGTCATTATGTACTGTTATCGATGACAGGAGTAGATATAATTAATTCGTAACATGAAGTCGTAATTTTATGAATTAACTGAGTGCCTCATTATGGGCTTTTTCTTTCAGTTAGTGTCTGAAAGTTACTTCTCTGCATGATCTACATATCTCATATTTCATTTCTTTGGAAGATTCCCACAATTTTTCTGTATGTAGATAGAGGAGTAGAAAGCCAAAACGTCCCTTTCTAAAAAAAAAGTATTTCTTCTCTCTCAGTTTATATTCAAAAGCTTTTCAGAAGAGAACCTCATGGCGAATATATACTTCATCAAACAATCTCAAAATACTTGAAGTTCAGTGTTACGATCTTCAATCGGGATTGAACCGTCGTGGTTTGGAACTGTACCCTAACGTTTCGCCAGCACAAGTGGCTGGCTTATTCATCTTGATGGTTCACCGATGGTTCACTGGCGCATGGTTCACCGAGTTATCGGTTCACCGAGTTATCAATGAACCATCAAGATGAATAAACCTCTGAAAAAGCCAGCCACTCGTACTGACAAAACGTTAAGATACAGTTCCAAACCACGACGGCATACTTGAAGTTATTCACTTATGAGTCACAGAAAAATGGAGTAACTTAGTCACATCATAAAGTATATGGAACGAGTCACAAAGCCAGTACCGCTTTTTCGGGATCAGTGACTTTTTCTGGAATCATGAAGAGTCACTAGAAAAAACAATTTAGAAAACTGAAATGAATAAAGACTGACAAAAATATTGATATTCTTTCTCGATAGACCAGAGATTGGTAACGGAACTTCCGAAAAGCCATTGCTGACCATGATGTCACCTCTGCAAAATAGGCAGGCCAGATGAAGAAAGCTGCTACTTGACCTCACTGTCACGAATCCAACCAATATCATTTGACTAAAAGATGAATCATCAAGACTTTATTAGACCGTGCTTTCGGGCTCTGTAATACGAAGGAAGATCTCGAGAAGGAACTAGACATCGTCAAAAATGATCTTCAGCGGAATGGCTACTCCAAAGCGATGATAGAAAAGAATTTGGCTAAAAGACAGCAGGAGCCTCGTAAGGAATAGATGCCGTAACAACCAGTGCTTGCACTTCCCTACATCAGAGGATTATCGGAGAGGATAAGAAGGATTGGTTCCAAGTACAACATCAGAACCTGCTTCAGATCTGGTAACACCATCCGTAGCAGCCTTACGAAACCAGGCCACCAAACGCGGACTGCGATTCCAAGAATTGCATTTACCGGATACCCTGTGAATGCGGAAAATCCTATATTGGTGAAACTAAGAGGCCATTAAAAGTTCGCATTGCCGAGCACAAGAAAAACAACAGCGAGGTGAAACCAGCAAATCAGTGATAGCAGACCATGTTTGGACCCATTAACACAACATCGAGTGGTCCCAAGCTGAGATCATACACAGAGAGGAACATTGGTTTAGGAGAAAATTCAAGGAAGCCGCTGTCCAACAACGTAGTCAGCCAAGCTAGCGTAGAGATACGCAACATATGGAAACCCATCATCAAGCGAAAAATGGCCAACTTCCGCAAAACGGTCATCTTCCACTGAACCAGTGAAGCGGAAAAGATGGAAAGCGGGGATAAGTGAAATTACTCGAACGACCCATAAATAGTCACCTCTCGGAGGAATCAGTCCTGTCATCACCCGAAGACGATTGTAGATACCAACAATCGAAACGTCGTGAACTAACGTGGCTTGGAATCTCCTAACTTTTTATTTTATTTTCATTTTTATTCCTTTTTTTTCAATTGTTCTATTTTTACTTGTATTTTATTTCACTTTTATTTCATTTCAGGTTATTTTTGCTTAATATAATTGATATTTTCAGCTTTTCATTTTCAATTCTTCTTTTTTAGTTGTTTCAGGGATTTCAAATCATTTTATATATTAGACAATGGAAGTCTGAACCAGTGAAATTCATCATGAAACATTGTCAATCACCTTCAAACAAATCATATGTTTTTCGTCCACTGATGACTACAATTATTACATGAAATTTCCCAATCTTTTTTCTTTGTCTTCAGTTAGAGATAAAAACTGAAAGATTTCAATTTTTCTAGGTCAGAAATGGCGAGATATGCGGCCTATTCTCAGTCCATCCTTCACCAGCAGCAAAATGCGATCAATTTTCGTTCTGATATCGAAATGTGCTGAGGACTTTGCTGATCATTTTCTTAAGAAAGATGAGGAAATAATAGAAATGGAAATGAAGGATACCTTCACACGTTTTGCTAATGACGTTATAGCTTCTGCTGCATTTGGTGTGAAAGTCGACTCACTTGGAGAACCAAACAATGAGTTTTATTTGAGGGGAAAAGAGCTAACCAGTATGGGCAAATTTTGGAAAAGAATGAAGATTATGGGGTTTCTTCTGATACCAAAAGTTCTAAAGGTGAGAGAACATTAAATTTCAACGAAAAAATATATGTTGATTGTTTCATCCTCTTCTTCTTTTTGGTATCATTTACAGTATAAAACCTATTTGAAAATGTCTGGTGAAAGTGGCCAATACTTTTGGAAAGTCTACAAAACCATAACACGTGTTTTATTATTCAACAGTTCTTTCAGGAGTATTATACTGACCAAATTTTACCAAATTATTACAACTTCACATGAATTAACAATTTGACTTTTTCAACTTGATACCTAATGATTATATTGGTATTCACGTACAAACTGATTACCAATTTGAACATGAGAAAAGAAATTTCACCAAAATCGTTGAATGAAATCACCTGAGTTTACGTATCCATCGGTACAATTTTCAATATAAGAAAACACATTTGATAAAAATTTAAACTGTTTTTCCATCATTGGCACTTCATTGGGTGAAGGAGTAATGATAATTTTTGAGGCCTGCTGGATGCGTTCCGTCACTTTTCATGTTTGTTCCAAGTTTAAAAATCTGTTTAAAATCTATTTTTCCGTTAACCAGCAGTCGCACCCTACGAACGACAACCCTCAGAAGTCGAATCTTGTGCGAGCTAAGGATTAACGAGGTCTTACCTTTTAACGTGTGATTCCTAACACGGGATGGACGATAGCAAGTGAAGATCGATCGTTCAGACTAGGGCTTGAACCACCGACCAACACGGCAGTCAATTCGAGTGAGTGAACAAATCACCAATCGAACCGCTTGGCTACTGACCGACCCGAGTTAGAATGACTATTAGTTTCGGTGTGAGTCTTCGTCAATTGCATGATAGAACTGATCAATACTTGATGAAAATCCATTAAAACGTATTCAAAAAACACACTTTGATGTGAGATTTCCATTTGAAAGATTGGAGATTTGTCTCTATTCTACAGGGTGTTTTTTAAACATGCGGCAAAAATCTCAGGGACTATTTTTGGGACTATTCTAGGAATTTTTATACTGTATTTTTGATACGGCGCTTTGTTTTGAAGATACGAAGCGAAACCACATTTCGACAATAACAATTTATTACCAAAAGTTACATGTAATGTTTCTTAATCTACAAGAATTGTTAAAAATGACTACCCCCGCTCGGTTGCAAGAATTCAATCTTTTCCTTTTACTCCCGATATCTTCAAAAAACACCAGAATCGTTTCTGATTGCGTTACAACCAGCAAATTGAATGCCTGCGGCCGTTTGTACTATTCGAATTGTTAGATTTCTTATCACTCGGTAGGTCCAGTGTAGTACGCTATACTTTCATTTCGGCTACGTTAATAATTTTAAAATTTCCAAAATTGTTATTGTCGAAATTTTTTTTCGCCCCGTATCTTCGAAACAAAGAGCCCTATCAAAAATCATCAAAGGACAAAATATCTTTAGAAAAGTCTAAGGAATAGTCCTTTTATTTTTTGCCGCATGTTTGATTAACACCTTGTATAGATACTTTCACGTGAGGTGTTCAAGTGACTTAACACATTTTATTCCTCAAAGAACGGTACATATCAGAAATATGCGACGGACTGTGGCTGCTCTTCGTTTCGACGTTCAACTCAGTACACCTCGTACTTCATTGTTGAGAAACTCTTTCATTTGAAGAACTGCGCTCGAGTGGAATACATTTCCTGAGAACGTTCCTCCAAATGGATTTCATCTCCAGCGATTCAGATTCAATGTGATTCGCTATTTTCGCACAGGCATCGCTCTTAGAACACGAGCACCTTAAGGATTTTTCTGTAGTGCTTGTGTTTTGTTCTCGAAAAAAACCGTGATACGTGTTTCACTATACAGGGTGTTTCAGATTAGATCGTCACTAAACTCGGATAGATTTTGATCCAATAACTTTCGAGATACAAGATAAATACATTTCCGATGTCTTAATCAACATTGTTTCTATCGTATTTGTAATAAATTTGTATCATGTTTTTTTTTTCTTCATTCGTAAGAGCCATTTTTCGCCAAAAATTCAATGACTTCTACAATAACAAAATGTCATTGACTGTAACAAATTGAAAGTCAAATTTAGAAACATCAAAGTTAAAGCCTATTGTGATAAGAATTAATGTTTTTCAATATCTTTAATTTTTCGGAAAAGAATGATAACTTATGATACATCATTGAAAAGGAAAAATCTATTCAAAATAGGAAGAATCCAATGTAGCGCCCATAAAAAAGTTGATGATGGTGGCCAGAAGACGAAACGTCGGATAGCAAACCTGAAAACACCAGTATGTACCATGGAAAAAGTGGCAATTGGAAGTGCAATTCATTTCCGAATCCTTCGAAAAATTAAGCAAGAAAAAAATGAAACCCATTTTCTGAAAGTTCTGTTTTTTCCGGATATCTCCGGATATACTCGGAATTTCAGAACTTTCTTAACGGTATATTGTTAGTCAAGTAAATGCGTAACTTTGCGCCAATTCAACCATCTTCGTATCTCTCATAGTTTCCGTGATCCTAATGTTAAGGATCGAATTTGAAACACCCTGTATGATAGCATCTTTGGGCGTCACAATATTGATTGTGAGAACTTCAAGTGAAAATCTCACGTATGTACGTAAGTACGTATGTGAATTACCTTCTGACTCAGAAATTAATGTTTTCTTCATTGAATTGTTTACCTTCTGTTGTTCTTCTTTTGTATTGTATATTTATATTTTTTTGTCGTCTCCCTAGTGGTATTTTCATTTATTCTTTTCGAGTTATTTGTGTAAAATAAACAGGTTTACATTCAATATGTTCTTATTTTCAGCCATTAATATAATACGATTAATCTATTTCAGTTCTAAAATTTCAATCTGTTCAATTTCCAATATTTCACTTCAAATTTCTATATATTTCGTAATCATAAAGGGTAGGTCGTATTTCCAAGATTGTCTCAAATACTTTCGATGTATCCTGTTTCGTTTTCACGTAATTTTATGATGTCAAATGCAAGCTATGTATATTTTTTTCGAGTTCTTTGAAATTGTTAGATTCAATAAATTCACATCATAGTTTTTGCAGATGGTAGTTCAATTATTTATAAATGAACTATTAGAGTGAAACTTTTGAGTATTGCACTAATTTATGTTGATATAATAATTTAGGTAAATGGACATAGAATGGTTCGTGTGAAGATGTGATACCAAGTTTATCGATAATTTCAGCCATTGAATTAATTGAATTATTCAATACCATCTCTCAGGTAAAATGATCAATAGAATTGTTTCATTAAATGAATGCATTAAATGAATCACCTATCGACCATGAAATATCGAAAAACCAGCGACATGCCCTGGCTACGCACGGGTACAATGCTAACAATAAATATACATTAGATTAGATTAATATGGGGCTTCTGTGCTGAACAGCCACTACACTGCAACCTCTGCAGGTCTATTGTGTGTGCCCTCATGTATGCCAGAGTTCCTTGTCTAGGCTCGTCCTTGTAACTAGACTCCATAGGCCAGACTTCAAGTTCTCCATATATTGGGAGTGTTGTGGTTTTTCCTCCCCTAATGTTGCATACCTTATCCTTGATAGACCTTCGTAATAGAATAGTATGTGTACGGAGATTTCCTCATCGTCTTGGCAAAGCCTGCATAGGGATGTGTCTGCCAGTCCGATGTTGTTCATGTGTTTGTTGAGTCTATATTGTCCCGTCAATAGCCCGACTAGGATAGCTGTAACAATATCAGCGGTGCAGAGCACCGAAATAAGTGTGAAGTTATCCTATTACAATATACGATACAAGCGCGAGTTTTTTTTGCACCTCTTTTGTATAGTACCTTGTTGTAGTTAGTTTTAAAGCCTGAAACCCTGCCTCCATGTACCCAGGGTTCTTGCAGGAGGGCCACGTCCAGTCCGTCCATGACGAATCTCCTACAAAAAACAACGCTTGCGGCCTTGGCGTGGTGGAGGTTCACCTGCAGAACCCTGACCCTGGTTGTGCTCAGTTCTGCGAACTGAGCTGCTCCTCTATCTTCTCCGTGGCTTCTTCCATCTCCATGGAGATACCCGTCTCATGTACTGCTTGCCTCTTGAGAGGACTCGTTCCTGGTGGGTCTACTGTTTCTGTGCGTGAATCTCTGCGATCCCCGGGGAAGGTTCTTAAACCTCTTCCCAGCTTGTGCCTTGTTTTGGGCTGCGTCTCCGTTCAACACGGAACTTTATTCTTCCTAGGTTATAATAGGGAGACATCTCGACTTTCTGTAGCTCCTCAAAGGATTCACTGTCCATCGAGAACGCCATTGGCCATTGTCCGATGGAGTTTTACCCCACACCGTCCACAGATCTGTGTTGAGCCCGTGATTTGCGACTTTTAGCCTTCGCAGAATTTTTTCCGCTTCCGGCCTTTGGCCTCTATCGTTCGGGATGTAGGTGGTGTAGCCGATTGCTTCTGGAATATCCTCCCCTTCCATTACCTTTAGGGTTGCCCCTTCCCATGGTTTTATGGTGGGTATGGCATCTCCAAACCAGTCTGCACTTGTGCGATCTGCGCACGTCATAACCAGGTAACCCGGTTTATGTGTGTATTTTGCAAAACGCACTCGAGGTCCCTCAGGTGGAATTTCGTCGTGGGCTTCAGAAATTGAGTCCTGAACTTTTGCTAGCCTCTCCGAACTCATTTTATTCTTTCTCAGTTAAGGTAGCTGTGGCATCTGCCACAGCTACCTTAACTGAGGTGAGGGCATCTTTGAAGGAAACTCCTTTTGCCTTGGTTTCTTTCTCAGCTGGCTTTGTTGAGGCGGTATGCTGCTGCTGGAGCGAGGGCGTTTTGTAGATGTGCTTGTTTCAGTCTTTTCCATGCTTTTTCCAGCCTCTTTCGTGCCTTTCTTAGGCTCTTTTCGTGTCCTCTTCTTGATAACTGGCCTTGTGGCCTTTTTCGGTTGCTGACTCTTCAGAAAGTTTTCTCTTATGACGAGCCTCTTAGCGATTATGTAGTTGAGTCCACTTTCTAAGTGTTTTTGAGCCTCATTCTCGAAGCTCCGCC